GTGTTATTTTGAACAACAACCACATGTCGCGGAGGACCACGGCATGGGAAACATGGATGAGTCCGTTCAGAGGGGAGGGCCGGTGGTCCCGAGGGATATGGCAGACAACATGGTGGACACCTTGCGCGATCTGGACAGACACGACCTGGCCATCATGACCATCGGCCTGGTTGACCTTGTCCGCAGGTTGATGGTTGAATGCTCACAGGCCCTGGCTCATGCGGGGGAAGATATGGTCGAAGTGGAAGTCGAACGTGAAGATTCGACCTCCCTCATGCAGAGGGGCCCTGGGGATGTCCATGGACTGGTGAGAGGCGCAGCTGAGACTAGTGTGGTGCAGGAGCTACAGTGGGCTATACAAGCGGTAAGACGAGATGGAGTCCAGGTTGCTTCCCGGGTGGAAGCCCTCCGGACGCGAGCCCGCAACTATCGTGAGGTCCATGGAGGGTCGCCCCTGCTTTGTTCGCTGGAAGCGCTGCTCGTCGTGGAGGGCAATGAGGCGGCGCAAGAAGTGGCTGAGGAAGTTCTGACGGCCGGGGCGGAGGAATGGGTGAATCGGTGGTGGCACCGGTGCCGGACAGCTATGACTTGTTCAATGCCACGGGCGTCCAGCACGGAATCCGTCGAAGTCGTGGACAGTGGCGGCATGGAGGAGGGTGAGCGTCTCGCGGTCGAACAGGAGGAGCTCCGCGATGATGAGCGCTGGCTTCAGGAATCCAAAGCTAGGCAGGAAGAAGAACGGGAAGCGGAGGAAAATGCCCACCAGGCTGACATGGAGCAGGTGGCAGAGTGGCACTACCGGACGGAGGAGTCAGCACGCTGGCAGCAATGGGACGACTGGGCCATGTACGACGAGCTGAACCACAAGCCTCGCCGCACCCGACGACACCTCGAAGTGCTTGTGGGGCCGACGCAGGGACAGCCAGGGCTCGAAAAACGGCTCCGGGTTGCCCTCCCGCAGACAGGTCACGTGGCTGTAAAAGCGGTGAGGATCGTGGAAGAGCCGTCGTCATCGGGCTCGGCGGCATCCACGGTGGGCCCCAACCCTGCGGGCACGGCCGAGGTTCAGGGAGATGGACACGGGGGGTCTACACTGCCAGTCCGTGCTGTGCCTCACGAGCTGGACTTTGACACCTACCTGCACCAGTTCGAACGTTACCGTCGCGGCGAAATCGGCGAGGCATATATTCGTGCCATGTGGGGAGAGAACACGTGGGACCTCATGGAGGCACAGGCGGCACTGGCGGACTTGGAAGACAGTGGGCAACAAGGGCATGAGCATGGCCAGGAGGTGGAAGAGGGATCGCTACAGCGGAACCGGGATGAGAGCCATTGGCAGGAGGCACTGGCTAGTGAAGATGGGAGGGAACCACGGCATCTGGGACAGCCCATGGATGTGGCGACCTTGGCGACTTCGGCGAGTTTTCCGGGGCCAGTGGCTGTGCGAGAGGAATGTCAGGGTTTCGAAAAGGACGGAAAAGATGTGAACCAGGACGAGGGCTCGGAAGCTCAGCATGCAGGGCAGGGCGACATCGGTCACGAGTGAGGGTCAGGATAACGCCACTCTAAAGGCCATGAAACTTGGCCAAAACAGCCTGCCCGAATGGGCTTGAGACGCGTAAGCAGTCATCAAAAGGGCCCTCAAAAAAAAAAAACCCTAACTAGCATGAGCAAGAATCTCATCGGTTGTTCTTTTGATTTTGGAAGCCTTGCCGGCTGTACGCAGCCACCAGGCCTGAAGTGGCCTCGCCCGATGAAACGTGTCGGCGGTATTTGGGCAGTGTAGGCTTAAGGTTTTAACTTTGGCCACAAAGGTAAACCTGGGGGCAATGGAAACCCTGAGCCCTAAACCCAGATTCTTCTAAGCCCCAAGAAAAGACACGAAAGACTCGAGCTTAAGCCCGGCGCCCAAGAACCCCATGCCCGGAACCCTAAAACGTGGAACACTGATGCTGTAATTAAACTCTGCAACTCCTAATGCTAAGCAACCACGAAGGCACAACCCTAAACACGCCCAACACACCCATACACTATACCCACCGAATATGCCAACCCGCGAGAACATCCCCAAAACTCAACAAAATCCTAAGCTCCGGGCCCGCAATCCCGCCAAATAACTCGCCCCATAATCCGAAGCCAAAACAGGCCGAAGCTTGCCCAAAGAAGTCCGAAGACCAAGCCACCCCCAACACGCCAAACCTCCAAGACGACCCAAACCCTGCAACAAGTTGGTTTACTATGCTCTGCCATTCTATGCTATGCGAATGCTATGCTATACTATACTACACTACACTGAACCATACTATACCCTACTCTGCTATGCTATACGATACTGTTGTAAAGTGCATTATGTTGTGCTACATTATTCTTCAGTTTATTTTTGAGTTCTATTCAATTCTATTCGGCTCTGTTCTATGAGAGCAACTTAAGGATGGTCAGAGTCGTTCCCAAACAGCAAGCTCCAAGCGCTTTATCAGGACTTACCTCAACTTTCATGTGTCTTAAGGTGGAACCACAAACTGCACCTGAAACATTCTAAGGTGCAGTCGGACAATACGTCTGCCTGCGGTCTTCGCTTCGAGGACATCGCCTGTTCTGCTTATGTTTGATGTATGGTGTTCTTGATTTTAAGGTATTGGGGTCCCCTATCTTCTGGAACGCCCATAATATGGTGGCGGATATTCAGCTAAACGTGTGCACATACCAATCGGTACGTAGATGTTGTGTTGCGACTGGCAGTAAGTGTACATTGCCTATGGTATCGTGCATTGCAGTGGAGGTTCTGCTTAGGTATCGGGAATATGCATTGTTGCTGGGGGCCCCGAAGCCGACGTGGCAGATCCCGAAAGAGCCGATTCGGACCTTTGGTTTCTGCGATGGAAGTCACATGAGAAGACCTCGGTGCTGTGACATATTATGCTACCTTCTTGCAGGCCTACCCGGTTTCCACACAAGCATGGTGCAGGTTCTAGTCCAGAAGCACGTCTGCAGAATAATAGCTAGAGCCATGCAATCTCCAACCCAATCTAAGCTCTAAAGCCTATACTGCAGGACCCTCAAAGCTCCCTTCCAAACGACTAAACACCTTTTAAGAGACATCCTCCTTGTGCTGACGATTCCTGGCCTTCTTAAGGTGCCCAACCCCCACTGCTAGATTTGAGGGTTTGGCCCTCCAGAACCCAACTTCTTGCAGGACGCCGATTGGCGGAACTACCTCTCCAGTCTCAAGCCTCTTGGGTTGAGCATGGCCGTCTCGCGGCAGGCGCTGCTGTCTCTTGCACTTCGAGAGCCTCCATGAAGGTGTTTTTCAACTCCCGATTTCCGCAGCCTGTTCGCCCACTTGTGACTAGTGACTAGTGGCCCCCTAGAGCCTTGGAGAACTGAAGCCTCGAATCTCCAAAGCGTTAGGGGCTGAGTCCTTTTAGCCGTCCTCAGGCTCCAGCAAACGGCAAAACTGATTGGGATTTTCAAGACTTCAGCAAGAGAATACTGTAAGGTGTTCGGGTTGAGGTTTAAGTGGTTAAGGGGGTACTTTGCATACCCAAGTGATCAAACGCTTGAACAAGAATCAGCTAGCTAGGGAGCATAGGGGTACTGACCTAACCTTATGGGGCATAGGGGTACTGACCCAACCTTATAGGGCCTCGATCGCAAGTTCAAGATTTGCTACCTGTCGACAGAACTCCGATTCCCGTGGATGCCCCTACGCCCCCTACCATCCCTTTCCGCTCGACTTCCGGCATGCTCTCGCCTGCCTTACACCGAACCTCTGCTCTGTTCATTGTCGAGGCCCTGTCAGGATCTTCTGCAAGGCCCCATAACGAGATCGGATTTCCTTAACTACTGACCAAGCCCTGTTGCCCTTCTTGACCTCCAGAACAGCAGACAAACTCTCAGCTGCCAGGCGAAAGCCATCAACGACTTCAACAACCACCACAAGGGTGTCTTAACAACTCTACTGTACATCCTAAAACAGTGTGGATCCGCGTGGCAGAACATGTAGCTGCTGCGACGCCGTTCACTTCATCTATCCTTGCTTCTCTAGTAAATCATACTATAGTCATAAGAAGGAGCCCCCAAAAGTAGGGGTAATTCCTTAGGCCCCTATACTGCCCCCTTTCGCCAGCCTCGCGAGCCGCCGTCCTCTCCGGAGGTCGGGACCAGTGCTTGACAACAGCAAAGACAGAATCGGTAGCTCAGGTACGCTGTAGTGGTAGTAGTAGTAGTAGTNNGTGGTGGTAGTAGTAATGGTGGTAGTGGGAGCAGCAACAGCGGCAGCAGTGATCTGTCTTGGTGGCTGTGTTGTCGCAGTGGCTTCAGTAGCAGTGTAGTACCGTCGTTGTTGTTATCCGACTCTGAAGGAGGAGGCCCGCTGACTCAACCCTTCTGTATAGTACCTTAATGCTCTTTCCTTGGTTTCGACCTGTTCAGCCATGTTTCTTGTTTTCGCAGGCCCGGATGTGTGAGGCAAGTGTAGGACTTCCTTCCAGAAGTAAGCGAGAGCAAGAGTCTAATTCGCGGCCCATGTATATGCCAAGACAAGCTAGTTTCCGACTAGGATGATAGCCGGCTAGCGTCATGATCCGAGTTGTTCGTCACTTTTCCGAACAACATATGAAATAGTGAAGTGGTAGTCACTGTAAGGACAATGAGGACAGTACTGATTCGCTTTTGTTGTTATTGACACTAATATAGGGGCCTGAATAATTA